TTATGTAGCTGCTGTTGGAACTGTTCCTCAAAAAAAGAGTAAAAAAATGCAACATAATAGTGGGTGATTTTCTCCCTTGTATTTCTGATGAACTTAGTCATACAGCAACTACACATTACTCATTACTCCATCCACTGTTTTCCTAACTCCACCCTGCTCGAAACTAAGACAGCTAAGGAGTATAGGATTGGATTCTACTTTCTTAAGATCAAAATCATAACAGATATTATTTTATTTATCTTTTTCAGGAAGGACTGGTATTTTTAAAGACTGGTATTTTTAAAGAGAATTGCATTTTGAAGAATACTGAAATATAGGTCAAAGTTCTTCTCAGATCTCCAGATTATTTCCTTAAATGGAAATCAAATCTCTAGTCCAGTTTCATAAACTCTATAATTCATTTTGAAGATTTGGATTCCTGAAACTGCTGGAATGTTGAAGTTCATCAAGTCTTCAAGTCTCACAGCCAAGCAGCATTTTAACCAATCTTATCTCCAGGAATCAGGACTGTTCTCTTTGTGAAAAGTTCAAGAGTAAATAAAAGGCAAGTATGTTTTCCTGACCTCAGCCAAGAGAGATTTGTGTCTTGCCAGTCACAAGAAGAATTTCTTCAGGTCACCAAGACCACAAGAAACAAGTTAGTATCCCGAAGCTCATCAAAAATATGGGCCTCCTCCAAAATCTCTCTCCATAACCAAATCGTTTCAGTGAAGAGTAGCAGCAGCTACACAGTCTCATGCTGAGGTGTGGGTGCCACTTCACAGTGAATTCTGTTAACGAAGCCTGTTATCTTGTTGGACTGATGATATCAGCAAATGATGAGATTTCTCCTGCCCAAGGGGGTTAGAAAATATCTATTCCATTGAACTTTAAAAGGCAGACCTGTCAAAGGGCAAGTCCCGGGGGCAGAGAGACTGGATGGCAATAACATCCAGTGTCAGCTTACTGGGACAAGGATATGACCTAACTCCAAATCAGTAGAGAGCAGGTGGCTAGATCAAATTCTTCCCCATTACCAATTCACTGGAAATAAGCTCCATAAAAACTGCTTCTCCAAGAGTACATCATATAAAATCTATTTGTAACACATACTGATCAGACTGACAATGCAGCTGCAGCTGCTTCGATAACCAGTTAGATAAGGTCTCTCAGTCCTGCCCTTAGGAATCTCAACAATGTCTTCAATGTCCAAAATAAAAGCCCAACTACCTGTTCAGTCAGTCCAGCCACAGCATGGCTTACTGATAACTGTGCACAACAATAACTGTGCAAAAGGGAGCTTTGCAAGTGACCTATAGCTCCTTTAAATATGCTTCCAAAGCAGACCATATTTCTTTATTGCTTTGTGATAAACAATCAGTCTAAGATTACACAGTGGATTAAAAAAAACGGACAACCACCACCCAGAAGCTAAAATACTGATTATCAGTCTGCCCTATCATCTTCCACACTTACCTTTACCTCCTGGTACTTTCAAGCAAACATATGTCTCCAGGCTCACAAACATACTATCAAGAGTCACAGACTTTCAATGCAGGTCCAGCTAGCAGCCCTTCTCAAATTAGAGGCTCCTTACACAGCCAGCTACCTCAAATCTGTATCTTCTACCTTTTCTCAACACCAAACTCATCAGGAAACATATTAAGAGAAGATGTTTCATAGACATAAACAAATCATAGCTAAATTCAAATCTTGGTGCAATTTAATACTAGTATCAGAGAGATTTTTGTCAGCTATAGTGTAATCCAGTGATTTATTTTACAAATTTCAAATCAAAACCACCTGGATTCTCATCTCTGCTGTATTACTAGCCACAACCTCAGATATACAAATAAGTAACTAGTAAGTTAGAATTTATATCACATACTAACTGATTTATGGTAACTTTTAGTTGATAGCCACCACAAGGTAATTAGAGCTGGTTTAGTCCTCTTCCACTGTCAGTAACAAACATTTTCTTCTTTAGTGAAGACTAAACCAGCTCAACTTAAGTGCTGTGTGCTGTAGGTTAAGGTCACGCACATAGACAGTTACCACGGATCAGCAGTGGAGTAGTTGCTTATTGCTTCACACTAACTTGCTTGAGTGTTTGGGGCCACACTCTGTCATTTACTTTTCTTTGTTTCTATTTCCTCATTAGTAAATTAAACATAATCCTACTTTCCTCTTGTCACTCAGTTGATCAGTATTCACAAGGGCTCTGTATTATTATTATACATGCAGTTGAATTACTAGACATACTAGAGTTTACTAGTCAATTGTTCCACAGTATTAAAAACAATAGTTATAAATTCCCGTCAAACTTGTAAAATATGAAAGTCACTTGAAAATAATACAGATAAATCATTCTTTCACAATTCCTTGAAAATCGGTCTATTACATCAAGGAAAAAAATTCCCACTCAGTCTTTCAAAAACAAGAGAAAAACAAGCCATCTGATGAATATTAACTGACACTGGATATTGATAAATTTAAGAAAATGACTACTTGTGTCTCACAATTTAATAACATTTGATTTATTCATTATTTTGCTATGCATCAGAAAGATATAATGAAATGTTTCTGAGCTCCTGTCCATCCACTGTAAGAAAAAAAATGACCTCTCCTGAAAGGATTTAAGAGGGCAGTTTCATCAGGAAAAGGTCACAAAGAAGTAACAAAGTACCAGCACCTGCAGCACCTTCTGGCTCAGACAGGAATTTCTTGCTTTCTTTATTACTTGATACAGACCAATTCTACTATTCTAATTTAATATCATTATTTTTATCTGCATTTAACTATAGAAGATTACTTAATTAAAAATAGATTAGGAACATGATACGATTAGACCATGTTAGATACAGGTCTGTATTTGACTGCTATCTGCATGGCATGTCATGTCTTGCCTGTACAGGTTTTCAAAGTGCGAAGTGCTATAATATGAAATGAATATATATTGCATAAAACAAATTATTTGAATGTAACATCTATGTAAATGCTCAATCTCTGCATGACATTCTGTCTGGTTTTGAAAACACAGTTAATGATGACCATGACTCCATAATAGTTTACCAGCTGCACAAATGGCTGTCTACTAGTACCACCACTGACTAGTGATGGTAATAGTCAAACTTCTTACAGATCAACTCTCATTAGTATCACCTGAAAATGTATTTGCAATATTTTACATATATGGTGTTATATTAAAAACTGATCATATCTTCTGAAACTGTAGCAAGTTCCTATGCCGTGTCTTGGCAAATGCCTGGCACTATCAAAAACCTTCTGATAACTGAAGTGCCTTAATATGAACTTTTGTCTAAAATCAGGCTCTCATTCTTTTAAAAGTTAAAATTTCACTGATGATTAGTTCTACTTTCTGTTACCAGGAACAGAAATTAATGACTTTGACAAGAATATTCATGACTTTTATTCTTGATTTAATTTAGTATGCACATTAGTATGGTTATAACTTAGAAGGTTATCATGGTTTAATCAAATGACATCCAGCAGTCCCTTCCAACCTAAATCACTGCATGTTTCTATGACAGCCAATGGTAATAGAAGAGGGGAAAAGTTAAACTAAATGAAGAACAAAAGAATTGACTAACTCTTCCAGTAGGGGGAGGTGTTCTTTTAAAGTTTATCAGCAATTAAAAAGTGCTAACTGTTTTTTTCATCCACACAATAAATGTAATTTAATGTCAAAGATACTATAAATATCATAAAGCAAGAAGGAGAAAAGGATTAATTTTTTCAATTTAATAATACTATCTAAATATTTAAAAAGAAAAAAGAAAATTAGCTATGCTGTCTGAAACGCTCCCTATGTCTCAGAATAAAATCTGAGCTGTGTTTTTCTCCTTATTTCCAAATTTCTTTATAAAATTTTGATGTCAGAAGTAACACTGTCTTGTGTCACACTATAATTCTATTCTCCTCCTTAAGAAGTTTTCTTTTAGAAACCTTCCTGAGAGTCATGGAGGTTCCTGAGTGGTGCAGAAAACTATCTGTTTTCTATGAATTCTGCTCACTGTCCATTATGTTGCCGTTCACCATTCCTCCAATTGTGCCACTGCAACTGTGGACGATGACATAAATCAGATATCTGAAATTTTTACTATTTTTATTACTGTGACATGAGTAAAAATAGAATACTCTCAGTCTTGCCTTCCTCCCAAAACAATTATCTTTTGACTCAGATCATTTCTACGAACCCCTTCAATATGACAGCACTTGCATCAGTACAGCTGAAGATGCAGTGAACTAGGAACATGTCTAGGGGAATACCTTAATCTGGTTTTGTCACCAGAGAAATATGACTGTGAAACTACACCACAAGGCATTTTTAAAGCAATCATGGTGAGAGTAGAAATTCTGTTTATTAAAAAAGGTTAGGACTTCTCACCAGATGTCTGGAAGTCTGAGTCATTCCTGAAGACTCCTTTTACAGTCTGTAGGAAAATCAGAACCCAAATACACAGAATCTGGGACTCTAAATGCAAGATTCCAAATCAGCTAAGATGAATATGTGATGACAGGTGCCGAGTTCAACTAGATGAACAATTCAGATAGAGGTATGTACAGTAGAGGGATATGAATTTGATATGCAGATTCTTCCCTAGTCTGTCTAAATGGAGGTGAGTTAAATAAAGCCTCCTTGTATCTCTTCTGTAATACTTTTGATTAGTACAGTCAGAACAACTTTCGAAAGAATAACATTTTCCTCATTTTAGGCACAGGAAAACGAGGTACTAGCAAGTTTGCCACAGTCAGACAACAGCTTTTACCAGAATCAGGAAAAAAATACAGAACAGTCTGGATTTCTACCTGCTGCTCTTGCTAAGTGAACAAAAATCATCACTGCTGGTAAGTGATGAATCCAATTCATTTCTCAGCTCTAAAATTACCTATCAGTAAAACATCCCACTTCATACTTGCTGTATCTTCAAATGCTTTGGATACTATCACTCTGAAAATGGATGCCATTTTTACTTTCACAGTGCTGAGAAGAGACTCACCTGCAAGTACAACTCCAAGCCTTGCCGTCGCTGCTCCAGAACCTTGGGGACCCAGTTTCTCACGTGCTTTGAAGGGATCTCTGGAGTTCTTATGAACTTCTTGAGCTGCAAACGAAAAGAAATGCAGATAGAAACAAAGAATAATAGCATGCCTTTAAAGTTAAAACACATTTATGTTAGAGATGCGGCAGCACAGGTAAAATAACCATGCGTAAATGACAAGAGCATGGCAATGCAGTTACTCACCATCAGCTCACTGAAACAACAGCAGACTTCATACCTACAGGTTGCAGTTAAAAATCTGCACATCTAGCCCTGGACAGTGAAGAGGAACCCCACTGACAATTTCGTGTGACTAACAGCCTTAAAACAAAATGGCAACAACTACATGAGAATACTTCAAATGCGTTCCCTGTTAATCAACCTGGGATGACACCTCACAACGTCACTGTGACATAACCAGGTATTACCTTGCTAAATGCAGTCACAAAACACCGCAACAATTTCTAACTCTAGATTTAGGCAACTATGAACAGGTGGGAGAAGTACAGTGAGGAGATCTAACCATTTCTCTGGAGAGCTGGCAATCAAGGGAGCAAAATATCTGTAATCGCAAACTGCACCAAGAAATTGACAGTTCTGTTTAATATCTTATAGAGAGAAATAGCAAGATTGCCACTGAATATATTTCCAAGAAAGCTTTTATAGATACATATGGAAATGTGTACATGCATACACATTAGTGCACATAGATAGACACAAACTTATATTCTGACAACACTAAGAATCCTCTTGCTGGAGCAACATATTTTTTCAAAACCAAAAATTATTAATGCTTTCCTCAAAACACAGAGCAAAAATAACAACTGGAACAGACTCCTATGCATTGTAATAGAAGGTGACATTAGACATTCTTTCTGTTGGATATTGCCTCTGAGTAAATCCGAGGCAAGGAATGCAAGGAAAGAAACTCAAAATTGACTTTGACATGCATACCCATGGGAGACTAAGAATTTACATTTCATCTTTGAGCTTGCTGAGATGTCACTATAGCAAAAAGCAGTGCCAACATATCAACGTCTCTACAATCACAAGTAACGAAGCTGCAGCAAGGAAACCTCAATTGCTCTGGAAACATTTTGCAACTTCCTTATTTCTTAACAACGCAAAATTACAATTGAATGTGAAGTGAGAAAAATAACCCACCAAAACAAAACCCCAAACCCACGTACTTCTGCTGACTGCTCTTAAAGTCAGAATATCAAATGCAATTTTTTCATCTAAATTGGTCAAGAATGTTGAAGAAGCTATGGCCACAGCTGTTGCAAACTATGACAGCACATGCAGACGAGTAACAAACGAGGAGAATACTCCAGATGAGGGGAGACAAATCTGAAACAACGCAAGTGTCTACCAAGGCCTAGCTGCTTACAAGATAAATAGTGTGTGGCTGGTGCCTCAGCTGATGATTAACAATCCTTTTGTGCTCTGTGGCCCTGTTACATAAAGTATCCAATAAACAATTGCTTAAATGTGCAAGCACAGGTACCGTGTGTAGGTATAAAACTCATGTTATACAGAGGTACAAGGAATAAATTATAAACCCACTTTCTTATGATTACAGTAATCCAGTAATATATTGCAACAAATAATTATTACAATGTCAAAGAATATCAAGCAAATCTACATATGTGTTTGCTATATTGCTTCAGACCTGTCCCTACACAAGAAATATTTATCTGAGGACAGTTACTGTTTGTAATACCTTCCTGTCCATAACACTGACCTAACGGTTCTTTGACATACTGTAGTCTCTATTTTCTCCAAGACTAAAAGATGGCTCAAATTATCAAGTAAAGAATTCTTTGTCCAAGTGTGAAAAGTCAATATGATTTAGAGTGTACACTAGTTATTCTAAAATATAAATAACTTGAAAAACAAGATGTATGAAACCGAAGTTGTTCACAGATTTCAGTGCAGTAGTTGTAACACTATCACCTTATAGCATTCTGGTGCTTAAAAAAACCTACCAACATCTAAAAATGTAAAGGAAAAAAGTATAAAAAGAAGTTAGGGAATAAATATGAATAAATGGTTGTATTTTTAACTATGGTATACACCTAGAAAGAATTCAATTATTTCTAAAAAACTCTACATATGAAAATAATAAAACTCTTGTTCAGACTTGAATACAATACTGTAATTTGAATGGTGCATAGGCTGAAGGGCCTGGTTTGTCATTCATAACCAGGTCAAAGTATATTGGCCTATGCAAACTATTTAAAAAAAGCCAACAGCAGTGCATGTTTTCTGTCAAGGCAATAACTTGTACTCCTGGTGTAGCACTGCAGTCTTGAAAAGATTTTAAACCTTTTTCACTACAGCCAGATTGCACATGGAGACGGGCTTTACTTTTTTACACAACTGGAATGTAAGAAAGGTTGAACCCAGGAAGGAGACAAATCCAGCCACATTCTTGGAAATAGCTTTGTTTAAAAAAAAAAAAATCAAAACTAATCAAAACATAAATTGGCATTCTGATGAATGAATATCGTCCTGTATGAGCAATGCAGTCCTTCTTCCTCTGTACAATGCCAGCAGAGCATGTCCTTCTCTGGTGAAAGGCACAATCTCCCCTTCAGCCTCTATTACCATTTTCTACCACAGTTGTTGTCTACAGAAGCTTTGTTTCTCCTGCTCACTACAGATTTCTCCAGCACTAAAGGCACCTTGAATATGCAGTAAATCTAAAGATACCTTTCCAATTGCCATGTACTCACAGCAACTTAGAGTGAAACTTACATTTTAAATTAAAGGGGAAGAGAGGAACAAAAAATAAATACCCTATTGGCATGCTGAAAGCAAAGTGGTATTTGGACCTGAGTATAGTGTTCTGAGATGTGAATAAATTGTTCACAAAGAACAATCAAGACAGGAGTTCAAAATATTCTTCTCCTGTAAAAACTATTCAAATACACACCCTAGTCTTTAAGAGCGTTGAGATTTTCTGCTTAACGCTAAATAGAAAGGAGAAGAAAGGGTGAAACTGCGTACACTACAGTACCAGTGAATGCTTTCTCCAAGATTTCTGTAACACTGAAACCACTAAGAAAGGTTCACAGTACAAGCTGTTCAATCCTGTTCACTGAAATTTTACTAAAACTTCAAGAAGTAAGACTTAAGAGGTATATTGTTGTCAAAAATACGCTGGGTGCTTTGCATTTGTACAGGGAACAAACAAGAAAAAGTCACTATCAAGTCTGCAGAGTAATATAAACAGACAGAAAGCAGACGAGGAGTAAGATGGAACAAACTGAAGAGCTGTGCAAAGTGCTTAGAAGACCTGCTTTTCAGGTTTATTTATTTTGCTGCTATTTCTGGAGAGAGAGGAAGGGACTCTCATTTACGGTTTTTCAGGTGTTGTAAGGAGAAATCTCTGCAAAATGAGTTACTCCAGAGGAAGCAGTGTATACAGGAGAAAAATCTGAAAGCGAGACTGCAGTCATTCGTGACTTTTGCCTGGAGTATTTGTGCAACTCCAGAAATTACAGTGAAATTAGACAACAACAAAGGGAAGGAGAAAAAGCAGAGGCATTCAATGCTTTTTTTGCCTCAGTCTTTAATAACACAGATAGACCTTGGGCTGTCGGGTCCTCTGAGTCGGAGCACCATGAGTGTGGGAACAGTGACTTTCCATTCATGGACACTGAAATTGTAAGGGACCAGCTGTGTCAGCTGAATGTTCACAAGCCCATGGGCCTGATGGGATTCATCCCAGGGTACTGATGCAGTGTGCTGGTTTTGGCTGGAGTAGAGTTAATTTTCTTCATAGCAGCTAGTATGGGGATTTGTGCTGGAGACAGTGATGACAACACAGGGATGTTTTAGTTACTGTTGAGCAGTGCTTACACAGAGTCACCCCCCACCCCACCAGAGAGTAGGCTTGGGGTGCACAAGCAGCTGTGAGGGGACACAGCTGGGACAGCTGACCCCAGCTAACCAAAGGGATATCCCATACCATATGACATCATGGTCAGCATATAAAGCTGGGGGGAGAAGAAGGAAGGAGGGACGTTTGGAGTTATGGGACTTGTCTTCCCAAGTAACCGCGATGCGTGATGGAGCCCTGCTTTCCTGGAGATAGCTGAACACCTGCCTGCCCATGGAAAAAAGTGAATGAATTCCTTGTTTTGCTTTGCTGCTGTGTGGGGCTTTTGTTTTACCTGTTACACTGTCTTTATCTTGACCCATGGGTTTGCTCATCTTTACTCTTCTGATTCTCTATCCTGTCCAACCAGGGCAGAGTGAGTGAGCAGTTGTCTGGTGCTTAGCTGCCAGCTGGGGTCAAACCATGACAACGAGCTAGCAGATGCTGCAGCAGGACCCCTCTCTATCATCTGTCAAATTTCTTGGGAGTCTGGGGAGGTCCCTGTAGACTGTAAGGCAGCCAGTGTTCTTCCAGTTTAGAGGAAGGGTGTGAGGGAAGACCCGGGGAACTACAGACCTGTTAGTCTAACCTCAGCTCCTGGAAAAATTACAGAGCAGATCATACTGGGTACTATTGAAAGGCATTTAAAGAACAGTGCCACCATCAGGCACAGGCAACATGGGTTCACAAAGGGGAAGTCCTGTTTAACTAATCTGATCTCCTTCTACGGTAAGGTCACCTGCCTAGGGGATGAAGGGAAGGTGGTGGCTGTAATTTCTCTGGATTTTCGTAAGGCTTTTGATGCTGTCCCTCACAGCATGATTAATGGAATTAAATTTAACAAGAACAAATGCCAGATCCTGTTCCTAGGACAGAGTAACATTGGGCACAAGTACAAACTGGGAGAGAAGCAGCTGGAGAGCAGCCCTGCAGAGAAGGCTGGGGGTGCTGGCTGGCAGCAGGCTCAGTGTGAGCCAGCAGCGGGCCCTGGCAGCCGAGAGGGCAAACCTCTGCATCCTGGGGTGCATCAAACCCAGCCCAGCCAGCCAGTCAAGAAAGGTGACTGTTCTGCTATATTTAGTGTTGGTGCAGCCTCACCTTGACTACTGTGTGCAGTTCTGGGCCCCACAATTTAAGAAGCAAGAGAAGGTCTCTGAATGCCTCCAGAGGGAGAGCAACAAAGCTGCTGGAAGGGCTGGAAGCCAGGTCCTGTGAGGAACAGCCGAGAACTTGGGGCTTGTCTAGTTTGGAGCATATGAGGTTGAGGGGCAGCCTCACTGCTCTCTATAGGTTTGTGAGGAGGGGAAGTGGAGAGAGAGATGCCGATCCCTTCTCTCTGGTATCCAGCAATAGGACGTGTAGGAATGGTTCAAAGCTGCACCAGGGGAGGTTTAGACTGGACATTAGGAAGCATTTCTTTACTGAGGGGGTGGTCAAATACTGGAACAGGCTTCCTAGAGCGCTGGTTGATGCCACAAGTCTGTCAGTGTTTAAGACGCATTTGGACAATGCCCTTAATAACACGCTTTAGCTTTTGGTCATCCCTGAATGGGTCAGGCCGTTGGACTACATAATTGTTGTAGGTTCCTTCCAACTGCAAATATTCATTCCATTCCATCCTATTCTATTCTAACTACAGGAGATGGTCTACTTGGGTACGGTGCATTTTGAGCATATAAATCCTGATTCTCCCCACTTAATGTTTCCTATCTTACTTAGTTGTATAATGTCTTCAGTTGCATAATGCTGTGAAATAAAGCACACACATATAGCAAGGCTTGGTGGTGGATGAGTGAGTTGTACTACTGTTTCTGACACTGTTGCTCATGTGGTATCATATTCAATGTGAACAGAAGGGGGAAGGTATCTGAGACATATCTGAACTGAAACAGTAAACAAGCAAATGAGTATTAAAAAGGGGCAGCTGATACCACAACTGGCACAAGAAGCACAAAGGCAAATTTAATCGCCTAGCTCATATTAATTATGGTGCAGTAATGCAAAATATATTCTTGTTTTTTGGACTTTTGATGGCCAATGCATAGATGGGCAAATGGTTGCCTTTTGTTGACCCAAGTTTCCTTATATCCATACACCATACAAGGCTGGCAAAATCCATCCTCCAGGATAATGCTTCTTCCTTGAATAAGAAGATTCCAGAGTTCATTCAGGGTCACCAACAAATATGTTAGTGTGGGTAAGCTCCTCTGACACTGAAGCGGCAGGACCTGTAAACACTCATGCTCCTCTCTGCCATTTGCAGAGGAAGCTTCTCCTTACTGAAAGCAAGCAGGACCAGCCAAGAGCGTGCACACACTCCACTGCCACTGAGAGCTACAAACCAACACACATTCAGTTGACCAAGGTCCTAGGAATGAAGGACTGAAGCTCTTCATTGCAGCCCCACCACTGGCAACGGGCTACAATATTTTTCCAGAAATCTCCTTCATAATACTTAGCTTCCCTAAGGCACAAAAAACGTAGAACTTGTCTTTCAGCTGCACAACTGTACAGCTGCATCCAGTTTAGCCTGGAGAGGAGACATCATACTTTTCCTTTAACAGCAATTACAACACTTCAAAGAAAAATCGGTGGATTACCAATCTTGAAAGTACTGAGTTCCCTTCTATGTATTAGTAAGAAGATTCAGTAGACAAGCTTAGCAGATATTTTATATCATATTCATTGTATGAAAAGCAGCAGAGTGAGGCGGTCTACTCAGGCTTTTTCATGTCTAATTTCCTGGTGTATGCAAGTTGTTTTCTCAGCTTTACATATAGCAGGTTAGCCACACAATTTATGGAACTAACAAATTATTTGGCTAATTGGATAGAAATCAAAAACTTCTTTATTTGCTGTAGGAATGTGTCTTATTTTGTGATTTTACAAGCAGAAAAAAAAATACTATAGACAGCATTTTAGCAATACAGCATATAAACAAGAACCAAAAAGAAAGCTAGTAACATCTGAGAACTCATCCCTTTCCACAAAGCAGAAAAGAAATTGAGTTAGTTGTGAACACATTTCTAGAGACATTAATCACAAGATGTATTTAAGATAAACCATGTACAGTAACAATTTCAAGTGAGAGCAAAACTTCACAACTAAGTCAAAACAAAGTTACATCTTATAAAGAAAGAGATCACTACCTTTTTATGAAGTGCATGGAATTCACTATACCTCTTCTCCACAAAATGTTTCCTTCCATTCATTAGCACCTCTATTTTAAAGACCTGAAAATCATCAATAATAAAAAGGAGATTAATGTACTTGCACAAACAGTTCTGTGACATGGTTGTGACTGTGCATTTTACTATGGTCATTCCAGTAGGTGGTCCCAAAAAACCAATGATGACTCATGAGGCGCAGAAGTACAACAGTGATAAATGGGAAGTATGGATGAATCTTCTGTTAACATATTTGTTCAATAAACATACAAAAATACAAGTTAAGCTTGAACTGTATTCTGTACATTAAACACTAAGCACTAAAATATTCTCTTCCAGAAATATTTAATACATTTTTAAGCAGTTAAAAAAAAAAAGATTAAAAAAGGATGGTAAGAACAACAACAAAAAGCAAGAAATAAAGATTCATTGTTTTTCCTTCTTACAGTATGGCATAGTAACACACTCACACATGTTAGTAAGAAATGGGTAACAGATGCAGTATGTTACGCATGGAAGAGGAGAAATAAATGCAAACACTATAGCATAGGTTAATTTCCTCCTAACCTACAAATTCATCTGTAGTCTCAACTGAGCTTGCGCTACTACCTAGGCAAAAAAAAATAATAATAAAAAAAAAAAAAATCACCAAACATGGCAAATGCTTGTTTTCTTTGTGTGATACATGTGACAGCTTTTGTTGCTGCCTCTGCAAGGTTGAAAGGCCAGGAGAAGCAGCTCTCTGGATCCACTAATTAGTAGTCACTAACATGACATTTTCTTGATTCTCAGGTCATCGGGTCAATTCTGAGGGCAAATGATGAGAAATATTTGAAGTACTCAAGAAAACATGGTCTATTAAATGAAGACAAGATCAGCAGAAAAGCAATGCAGAAAAGGTGCCTGGTCTGTCTAGTTCTTTGTTTTCTGTTTTGCTCTAAAAATGCTGAGAATAATTATTTCCAGGACAGCGAGAGATGATGTTCAGGGCAGACGATTACATCAAGACCCAAGCCTTAGGCCAAATAAAAAGTTCTTTGAAATACATTTGCAAACACTGTTTATGCCTGAATGCAGAAAAAAGGGGTTTCTGTCACAACATGCCCAACTAGCATTGATCAGAGCAAACATAAAGATACCATGCTGGATCAACAGATTCTATTGTCCACTACAACCTGCCTTTCAAACAGGTCAGAATGCTACGGTTTTCACCAGCTAGCCAAACCATATTAGAAACAGAAACCATTTTATCTAATCCAGACTGAAATGCGCCTACCTTTGTTTGAATGCAGTATGGATGGGACTGCAATCATTTCACACCAATGTTTACATTAGCAAAATTAGTTCAGATCGTTGTAATCCATCAAAACAACTTGTGCTACATTCTGCCTCTTTGAGGAGGACTATTTCTGTGTCCTAATGACTGTGAGCAGATGACCTTATTTGGGTGCATTGATTTTTCTTTCCCCCCTATCTATTTAGACTATTTTGGGAGAACAGCTACTGGCTATTAAACGAGTCTCCTCTACACATGAAAAAACTCCAAGGAACCCTCAGGAATATGTTGTAAGTTCAGAGTTGTAAAGGGAATCACATGCAAAGAAAAAAGAATGTAGGCTTTTTTGTTTAGTTGAGACTTAACACCCTAATCATATGAGAGGAAAGCACTATTTACATCTTACATGCTACATACTGCACAAAACAAATAGTTCTGCAAGGAACAACTTGCTTTGGATTGTACAGGAAAGCCACTGCATGGAAGGAGTTTCAAGGATACCTTGGTGGGAAGAATGGGTAACAGAACATGAAACTAGTTAAGTTGGAAGTGACCATGAATCACTATTTAAGGTGTTGCAACAGTTTTGAATCAACTTGGTATTAAACCTCCGGCAATTACAAGTGATTTGTAACACTCAGTTACACTTCAGTCAGCTAAGAGCCTCTGCACCACTGATAGTTTAGCACTTTTATTGGCTACAGGGTTCGCCAAGCAATTTGGGGAAGTCTAAGGGGCTCCTACCTCAGTTATAAGCACTCCCTTGCCAGGTAACTTTGTTGTGAATCATGGCTTGGCTTGTGCAGTCCCATTTTGGTTTTAGTCATATACGTGCAACTTCAGAGAAATGTCTTTCCCTCTGAAGTCAGTAAACTTGTAATTTCTTAAAGGAGAATAGTTGGAATATGGGGAATAATGGAAATATAAATCCCTCTGTGGAGCTTCCTTTCAAAGCATGTATCTATTTTGTTCTGTGTTTCATCACTGGTTAAGGAATTACAGAAATGGCTTCAGAACACCAAAAAGTACGCATCATTTATTCAGCCTCCTTTTTAATGTGAACAAAGTTTTAATTACTGTTTGCATAATTTTTACTAACAAGATGACTTTATAGAATATATTTGCCATACATTTTTGCAGAAGACGTAAGAAAAGAGAACGACAGCTTCCCGTACACAGTGATGACATTTCCAAAACCATAAATCTGTTATCTTCACACTCCCAACTGTTTGTACCAGTATAGAGGCTTTAACTTTGCCTCCTACCGACCACAGCCCTTGCATCCAGTGTTAGCACCAATCTAAAATTTACAAAGCTGGACAAAAGATCTGCTACGCAAGCTGAAAATTACTGTTTGAAAACAAAACCCTGCAAATGGTGTTTCTAATCTACTCACTGTGGCACCTATATTTATTTCAGAAATGTAAAGCAATTTGTGATAAATAAGTGGAAAATCTGTAAATGTTTTAGTTTAATGCAAATCTAAGTATTAAACTGATTTACAAAGTAACTTATAAAGCAGAAATGCAAGTAAGTGAAATAATACATATTGTGCTTATGAACATCATATTATTAAGTGACTATTTAGACAGCATAAATTTCAGGTCTCCCTCCTCACTGTTTACTAGACCACAATTCACAAGAGCAAACCAAAAGCACAGAAGTGAGTTTCTGTGCCACTATTTCATATAATGACATGGCTTGTTGAGAAAGACAGAAACATAGATACATTAGCTTATGAGAGAGATGGGATCTCTTTATGGATTCAAAATAGCTATAAAGAAATCTCACATGAATTTAACTGAGCAACTGCAGGCCCTGCCAGTAAAACAATGTAAGGAAACTAGCGAACATAGATGAAACTGCCAAAATAAAGACGGCAGAACTATGGGGGAAAAAATGCAACACTGCAAGGAAATTACTTTTCTTGTAAAAATGTTCATGTTCTATGAACAGATAACTCTGAAGACATATGACTTTTTATAACTGACAGTTAGTTAAATGAAAAATGCAACAATTAATCACTGAATAAGAAAAGTAAAATGCTTTTCCCATAGTCACTGAAATATCAGAAATTACACTGCACTGAAAGTCCTGACCAGGACACATGGGACCGTAGATATGAAGACAGCAATTTAAAAACTTGTTACGAGTACTCTTACACCAGAAATGACTCACCTTTCTTGGTCACTACCACAACAGTTATCAATGATGTTTGCAAACAGTCAGAAGATCATTGTCCATTGAAAGCATTCTTCCAACAGAATTTAACCCACATAAATGATGTATGGGACTAACACCTTTGGACTGGATACCAGTATGAATAATGTTGATCATTTGCCTAGCAGCATTGCCACTGCAATTCATAACCACCAAACCTGTGAAGGAAACTCTCCAAGAAGAATTCCTAAAGTATTCACTAACAAGATAGTGCCTTTTTTGCCTCTTTTCTTTGCCTCCATTTTGTTCCAGTGATATGGATTATTGGAAACCATTTTCTTCATTCTTACTGCTAGCAAGTATGCTTAATTTTGCCATTTTCCCAAGTTTATCCATTTCTGATCATTAGCAAACCTCCAAGTGAAAGATCCCTTTTCACTATTTTCAAGAATAATACTTACATTTCTCTTCTTGCTGCAGAAACTGGACAGTACTACATAATAACAAAACTGGATGATAGACAGGCAAACAATTGTTACTCTACTAGTATGAATTTCCAAGACAGAAAGCACAAATGGAAAAAACCAGGAACCAGTAAGACATACAAGAACCATCCACGCCTTCCTGGAAGCCCACTGATGTAAGTGCACATCAAGAACTGTGTGGTAAATAAAACGGATACTGTCCTCCTTTAGTTCTTACCTATGTCAAATGCTTGTACTGGATACAACAGGACATCTTTTATCTGATAATTTTATGTGAAAATATGCAGCTCCACTAACTGTCTCAAGATCCCCAGAATGATCAGTTTAACAAAAAACACAGACACGAATGACGAACATGACCAGGAGTAGGGAGGAAAACTAACAAGAATAGTGACTTGTCAGCTTGGTTTTCTATTACATGAGAAATACACAGATGGCACTTTTATACTCACTCATGGAAATTACATTAACTACACACTTTATAATTATGGTAAATTAATACTATCATACTGTGTATATTTATACATGGAAAAATGTATTGCAAAGTATATGAAGTTCTGAAAAATTACAGTTGAGAAAGAGATTTGGGGCAACCTTGTTTAAAATGAGGAGATACAAAAACCAGAAGCAGAAAAAGAGAAGTTTACAAAAAACAGATACATTTGTCTAACATTCACCAGGAAATAAAACTCCACAAAATTCCAGTACTGTGCTTTTCTCTCTCGAGACCAAGTTTACCAACACTAATTCTATTTAATATTTTACACAAATAAATACATCCCTTCAGATGCTTCAGTGTGCTTGACAGACTTTAGTCTGAGGAACAGCTAATGCATTCAAAGTGTCAAGAATCTCAAGCTTAAACCTTTGTCATGGCTGCATGGAAGGAATTCCAGAGCAAACAAAATGACAGCTATGGTCCATGAAACACTAATAGGATTTCCACATGTTTAGTGTTCCATTACTGTTCAGACAATGGCACATTTTCTGTCTCAAGACCCTGGCATACAGTAGGGATGAAAAGATGACTTAAAACCTATTCCCATACAATTGATCCGGGGCAAAACGATAGTCCACAGCACCAGTAAGGGCAGCTGGGTGGTGGCAGTAACAAGAGCTGCATGTAGCTGCAGCAGCAGTTCGGTACCTCAGGGGTGTAAGCGCCTCATGGCAAAGCTCCATACTTCTGAATGCCCTTCACAGCA